AATGATATACACAAATGTCCTGCAATATTCTTTAAAATAATGAAATACTGGAAACATTCTAAACATTTATCAATTCAGAATTGGTTAAATAAACTCTTGGTTCATTCATGTAATGAAAATACTTACTGGGCTTCATAAAGGATGAAGAAATTCTACATGTTGCCAATGAAAGATAAGACACATTAAGTGAAAAAAATAAAGCTGTAATATAATACATTATAATTTTTGTCTCTTTCTCTCTATATACATATATATGTTAAAAATAATTTGAAAGAATATCATTACACTGTTATCAGTGATTAGATGAGGCAAATGGGCTTAGAGGTCAGTGGAGAAAGTCCCAATCCTATCAGCTCCCCACATATACTTTGTATACACACACACACACACACACACACACACACACACACACACACACATAATCACCAACACCTCCAGGGCCACATCTTGCCCATCAAAAATTAAACTGCAACTTTCTTTTCTCATCTGACTCAACCTGTTCCCTATTTGATGACACATTTCTAGAGTCTTTTAATACCACAATCAAACAGACTAAAAGTTGGTTTGCTTTTTATTGTCTACCATGTTGGCAATCCTAAACCATGCTAGTGACAGGATATTATTCCTTCCAGTAGGTAGTATTGCTCTCAGAGCTCCCTCCCTTGCTATGCCACTCTCCCTACTATACTTGTGATTCAATGTGTCCATGTGCCATTTGTAGGTTTAGGGGCTGCAGGGGATTATATTGTTCCTGCCTTTGAAGAACTGATTATTAGCAGAAGCATCAGACAAGGCCACAGTTAAGTAGAAATTAACCAGTCTCTCTGGGGCTCAACTTCCTGCAGCTTCACATCCACCTGCCCTTGGATAGGCACTGTCCTCACCCCCTTTCCTCTTTGGTCTTTTGATATTACTTATCCTTTGCCCATTTTTGTGTCTGCATCTCCTGTGTCAGGTCCCATTTCACCCCCTACTTACTTTGCTCCCAACAGTGCCACTTGAAAACTCTTTCTTCCCCACAACTTTGKWWMCAAAGTTGTGGGGAAGAAACTAAAGCTCTGCCTTCCACCAGCTAGTGGCTTTTCTAATGGCCAGTTCTGAGCTACCTGTTCATTCCCCACCAGGTAGCTCAGAACTGGCCGTTAGAAAAGCCACTAGCTGGTGCAGTCTGCCCCAGGAAGTGGTTTCCCCATAGGCTTCTCTGGAGAAGGGGCTCACTGGGGAAGGCAGAGCCTTAGTCCATCAGCTTTAAAAATAAGCACCCCATGGAATAGAAAGAAAGAAAAAGCCATCCACCCAGCTTAACCTGAGCCTTGTAACAGAGAGGGGAGTGTGTGTGTGGAGAACAAGAGGGAGATCCAATTAATTACCCTTAGAAGCAAAGGTAAAAGTTGAAGATTACGAGACCCATTTACAGGAGGGAATAGACCCATCATTGAGCCCAGAGAATGGGAGGATTGTTTAGGGCCAGAAAAGCGTCTCAATGTTCAGATTCCATTCCTTTTCTGGAGCTCTGGATAGAGGAAGGTCACAGCTTGGGCTTGGAAGGTACATTTAACAGTGGGTTCAGACTGGGAGGGGGACTGTTGTTTTGGGTCCAATTCTGGGCCCACAGCCCGCCCTCTCCCTGAGGGAATGGGAGCCTCAATCCTTTCTGGAAGCTAATGTGGGCTGGCAAAGGAAGGGGTGCCCCCTGTGAGAGAGGCCCATCCATTACCATCACAACAGCTGATGTCACAGACCCCACAGAGCAGCCAGGGCCCCAAATGCAGGGTAACCCTAACCCCAGCAGCGATTGAAACAGATAGAGGGGAGCTCTCCCACACAATGCCSGGCCCTCCTCCTCCTCCTCCTCACACTTCCTCAAGAGCTTTTGTCTTCTGGTCCCTTGGGATTGGAGGCTCTCTCATTCCCCACAAATGCTGCCCATTAAATTCAAAATGAGGCCTCTGGGGAAAGGGTCTGGCACTCTCTTCCTCCCTCCTCTTATCTCCCAGGAACTATTCCCACCCTCATCTGCCTGGTGAGCAGGGAAYAAGGCCAGCTGTGAGAAAGGGATAAGCTGGTGACCTCTTGCTTCACATCCTTCCCCTCAGAGCACCTCACAAGGGCTGCTGGTCTCTCTGGATAGGGACTTGGACCAGAAGTTGTAACGGTCAGTGCTCAGAGGATTGGAGAATGTTCTGGGCTAAGTCAGGTTCTCCTGGTCTGAGAGTCCAGGCCTATGTACTGGACCCTCTTGCTTGTCACCTCAACCAGCTAAAGCCTCTGTATTCTCAGGAATGCAGAGTCCCTGCCCCCTCAGTACCTGGTGGGACCTGGGGTTCTGGTGGGCCTCCTGGACAAGGTGGACGGTAGAGCAGCAGGTCTTGGAAACTTGCCAGAGCCACACAAGTCAGGGAGAGCAGGCAACTGCTCAGAGCTTCTGGCTTTCCCTCACACGGAGACTGACATTTCCAAATGGATTTGGTTGTTATTCACAGTATTGTAGGCACAAATCTTAGATATTCATGAAAGCCATTAACATTCTTTCCAGAAACACTTGGTAGATGAAGGCTACTTGTGCAGACATGTGTAACACACACAGGATTTTTGGACCTCTGAGTTGTCCAGAAGAAGATATAAGTTGTGGCACTAAAGTGAAAGCCAAGAAGGTTCCAGATGGTGTTGAGAGGCAGATTCTACTTGAAGGACTAGCTTTACTAAGCCAGAAAGTTGGTGATCTGATTTGAAAAGACTGTCCCCATTCCTGGTATAGGTGCTTGAGGGGTATTGTTACCACAACCCTGTGCTGGGTTTGGGGAAAGGAAGCCAAGAGGCAGAGCATCTCTGGACATGATTGTCCAGTGCTCAGCCATGAAGTATGTTGTGAAATTGGACGGAGGGAAGAAGGGGCCATAAGCAGTACGTGTGCTGTGGTTCAGGACTGGCTAAGCATCTTGCCCTCCCATGGTTCACTTCCATTTCACAACATCCCTGTAAATTAGGGACTGTCGTTTTGCTTTTGCTGATGAAGATTATAAGATTTAGGGACTTAGCTAATTACTTGTTCAAGGTCACCCAGCTAGTAAGTGGCACTGCAGGAGATGGAAGCACACTTTTCTCAGGTATCTAAGTCCTACTGCAGTAGTCAGGCTTGTTACAGAGGACATTCTTCCCAGCCTCTATGCATGGCTTCCATGACATCCTGAGTGCTGCCGCACTGATATTTCTCGTCTTACTCTCCATGGTTCCAGATGTACCTACAGGTTTTCTACTATCCTCCCAGCACACACCAGGCTCATGCCAGCTTTGCACACTAACACGGTCTGTGCCTCATAATTCCCATAGCTTAACAGAGTCTGAATTAAGTTAAATTCTTTCAAGGCCCAATTAAATAGCATCCTGCTTTCTGTAGGCTATTTCCCTTAATCAGACCCCTCCCCCCCCCCCACACACTTTTTACTCAGTCTAGGATACCTGTTTCTCCTTGCTGAACTCTCAAATAGGCTCACCTTGTTACCTCCCAGGGCTGGCTTTGCTCTGGATAGTTCTACATCTTTTTTTTTTTGTACTGGGGATTGAACCCAGTGGTGCCTAAACCACTGATCCCCGACCCTTTTTTAATGTTTTAYTTAAAGACAGTGTCTTGCTAAGTTGTTTAAAGCCTCACTAAGTTGCTGAGGCTGGCTTTGAACTTGTGATCCTCTGCCTCAGTCTCCCAAGCTGGGATTACAGGAGTATGCCACCGTGCCTGGCTACATTGTTCTATCTTGACTGGAAGTCCTTCCATGCAGGGTAGGGGTTCAAAATGCACTGGCCCCATGTTGCCTAGCCCAGGACTCCACGTAAATAAGGCATTTCAAATGTTATTAGTCTTGATGATGACAATGATGATGCCAGTGTCAGTTGTATAAATGCGAAAACTTAACCCAGTAGTTAGGGATGTTTCCCAGGCCACGACACAGCTCCCTGCCTTGTGTGGCAGGAAGGCTTTCTCCTCCCCGCCAGGTTCTGCCTGCTCTACTCCTCAGTCTAGCGGAGGCACCGTCTGCCATCCAGTGTCTGTCATGAACAACAGCTACACTGTGCAAAAGGGATGGAAGAACAAAAAACCCATGAGACAACACCATGGCTTTTGAAACAGGTATGTAGGATATCTTGTTTAATAGCAGTTAAAAGAGGAAAATGTACAAGAGGAGTAAACATGCTCTTTCCATAGAGGAGCTTTCCCCTAACCATGCGGCCCAACTGCATCAGTAGCTTTACTAGTAAGTTTTAGAGGAAAAAAGTTCCCTTTAGAGTTAAAAATGGACTTCACAAAAATTTCCCCATAAATGTGTACTATTTGTGCAAAAAAAAAAAAGGCCATTTCCAACACATTAGTGAAAAGTAATTGTAACTGCAAGCAAAAGGAAGGAAGGAAGGAAGGAAGGAAGGAAGGAAGGAAGGGGGGGAGAGAGGGAGAGAGGAAAGAGGTGACTGAAGCAGTCAGGAGAGGAATCCTGGGAAAAGTGGGGCTTAGGTAGGGGAGATTTCTGAAGCCAGCCCCAGGGACTGTGCTTGGATGCCTGAGAAGGAAGATCATGGCCAATGCCAATCCTTCCCTGGGTCTAGCACTTGCTGAGCAAGCTCTTGTCAAGTATGCAGAGGAGTTAGGATGACTTTGAGGCTGGGGGGACTTTTAGGTTTGGTATGCAAATCACTGAAGAACATTCCCTGTTGCCAACTCTGCTGGTGCCAGTTTCCAAGTCCTGTTTCTCCCTAACCCCAGCAGCTTCACCCAGTCTGCTCAGAGATTTTCCTATGAATGTTAAAACTAAATCAGCTGCCTAGATTACTATGGAAACCTAGGTTCCAAACCAGACTCTCTTCAGGAACATGAATCTGGTTTCCCTAGGAACTTGGCCAAAGACTCATAGTGACCAGAAGGCAGAGGGCTTCCAGCGACTCATGTCTCCCCTATCCTCTTATTGAGGCCTTCCAGGGCACTTCTACAAGTGTAGGCATTTGAGGCCAGATTGGAGAGGCTGAGGGGCGTGGATACACATGCTTGGCACACACTCCAGCCTCTTAAGGGTTGGCTCAGCTGTAGGCCCAATGTCACAAAATTTCTACTTCACCAGTAAAAAAGCTTTTGACACTGTTGGTCTCTGTTTTTACATTCCCTGGCCCACCAAGAGTATATCTCCACATACAGCCCAGAAGTAGCATATTGTTTTTTGTTTTGTTACGAAAGAATAAAGGCAGACTTAGACAGAGTGAAGAGGAGGTACACCAAAGAGTCCATCCGAATGAGTCTTGAACTTGGATAAGCTTTTTCTTTAGCAGAACTTCTTGGTTGAAGGTGCAGATTGGCCCCTGTTCCTCTACCCTATTCTCCTTTTCCTCTATAGCACAGTTCTTCCAGCCATGATGACTCCCTACAAAGATAAATGCTGTAACAAACTTGAGATTCTTTCCATTCCATTCAAAGTCTGAGCAGTCAAAGCCGAAGAGATCTTGCTGAAAACAGTACCTGTGAAGGAGGGTATTTTGGATTCTTCTCAAGCATTGGATTAGTGTGATTATTTCTCACCTTTAAAAAAAAAAGTTCAGAACTTGGAGATGTCATCATAAGTTTCATTTCCACAGGTCCTTGCCTTTCCTTGGCTTTTTAAGTTTGGGTTKACATGCCATTCCCGACCCTCCTCCTAAAACCTTGGGCCAAATGTTGGGCCCTCAGAATGAGTCTCAGCAGACTTCTGCAGAACCCTTTTGTAGCCTGGTCTCAAGCTTTGAGGAGGGCTGTACATCAGTGTGCATATTCTCTTTCACATGGTTTTTTGAGGTGTAATAGGTATGATGAGGGTAGGGGTAGGGAATGTAAAAGGAAGTACTGCTCTCCCCTGAAACAATTTGGTAACTGACAAAGGCAGTGGAAGATTCTATTTGATGAATCTTTTCTCCCACTTATCCAAGTTAGAAATGCCTGTGTGACTGATTTTTATTACTTGGTGATGCACAATCATACTCTTACCACTGTCATTAAGCATCATCCTGACGTGTCTTAAAGTGTAAGTTCCTCCGACTGACCTCAGAGTAAAGCCTTTGCACTGAGTCTCAGGAATCTATTTAGGACAACAGACATAGCCTCTAAGCTAAGCTGGTCCAGGCTCCAGAGTTTGAGGGATAGGATTATAGGCAATCTTTTTTTCAGATGAGGCCAAAAGATGGCTTTGGGATCTCAGAAGAGGATGGAAGTCTTGGCTTGGTCAAGAAGAGCCTCTATACAGGATATATCTTAGTAATAGACCACAGTTGAGCCAGTGGCAACAAACCACTATCCATAGTTGGCCCTGACTACTTCATGATGGCAGTGGCTCCATCCCTAGAGGCATCTAGTCCAGCTGTGGGTGTTACCACAGTGCAGAGCTGGTGATATTTCCTTTAAAGATGGTGACCAGAAAGTTGTTTTTAAAACATAAATAAGCAATACCAAGCAAGTCTCAGGTTTTATCTAAGAGTAAAGTAAAMACTATTTTCAGTTATCAGGGCCTACTTAGCTCTAGCCTACCCCAGAAAAATAAGCAGTCAAAGCCTTGGGTCAGAGCTAGGCTAAAGAAACTGCCATCCTTGGGGTATTGGAGTGAAGCTGTCATCTTGCCACATGCCATGCTTGATTACCAGCTAATGGAAGTCAGCAGACTGAGGAGATGAACATCTAGAACCATGTGCTGGTCTTTAGTGTGTTAAATAGTAATGTTTGACAGGCCTTTGCCTTGTGCCAACAAGGATCAGCATAACCTAGGTGGTGAATGGGGCACCCGAGAATGAATAGGATATGCTTTACTATCCTTCTGCTTACTCACCTTTCCTCCCGGGGCCAAGCACTCACTCTGAGTGGTTCCTGGGCCACAGACCTAAGCTCTAGAGCCATGCATGAGTGGCGGTTCACCTCGTTGGGATTGGTGATGCCACCTCTCCAGGATAACACAGATAGTGTAGTAATAACCTCCCCTGAGTCTCCGCCTAGCAACATCTCATGTACTTGCTTATTCTTGTGCCTCTTTTACTATAGGGAAAGGTTATGTGAATACTGTACAGGGGTTAATAAAAAAATACATATGCTCTCTTTGAAGAACGCGCAAATGCAGGGCCCGCCGGGGCTGGATCAAGACTGTGTGGCTGCAGCAAACAGCCTGTGTGGGCCAAGGTGAGGTCTTCACGAGTGGTGGCTGCTGATGAGGCCTCGCAGCTGCTTGGCCACAGTGTCAATCAATTTCTGCTTATCTCGTTCATTTTTCCGAAACTGTGCAAACATGTTGTTCTTGCGGCTAGTATCCTTCATCCTACACAGAGAAGAAAAGAGGGCAAARTGATTGAGGAGATATTGGAAGAGCTTCTAGGAGATGGGATTCTATGACACATCTTAACCCTTATCCAGAGTGGGAGAATCCAGAATATTTCCATCTTCAGGCTTGAACTTACCTATGTCTGGGAAGCTGTCCATCTGGCACCTAAAGCTCTCCCAACCTCACCTAGTTGGAACTTTGTTAAGAGCCAGCTTTGGAGGYGCCAACTTACTTTTTTCACATTTCATTTACTTTTTATTTTTTTTATTACCATAGTTATTAATACACCTCAATTGTAAAAATTAATAAGTTTCACTGTGGCATTTCATACACACATATCAGGCTTTGATGATATCCCCCTTTTTCTACCCTCCCCTTCTATCCTGATCCCCTTTCTAGACCCTAATATTCAGAGGGGCCAATCTTCTTATCCCTCACACCTAACCTACCAATTCATTGTCTTCTCTCCCCAGGTGTGAACCTCTTTCAGGAGTCTGAGACATGCTACAGCTCTGCTGATCAACAGGCTCTTACCAAATGTCTAGGGTCCATTCATTACCTCATGAGTAGGCTTCGACCTTAGAGATGTATATGGAAGATTTAAAAAAAAAAAGACCTTTGAAAACTAGCAATTTCGAGAGATGATGAATAACTGAAAGTCACTGTGTATATCCAAATCTCACTCTATCTGGTTACATCTCCCATTCCTAATGAAACTAAGGGCTTAGTCTATCTTTTCTCTTTCTCAGGGTAAGGGCTGAGAGGCAGTAAGGTGGCTACAAGGGTAAGATGCTGAGGAAAACAGGAACCAAAGGCAAGACTACCATCTTCTCACCTGATAAGCCAGAGCTTTAAGCAAGAGAAGTCCCTGAGTTCTCAATGGCTCTCTATATTCTCAGATCACCGAGCTTGTCACTGTTAAAGCTCCACATGTGATATATTCCTAGAGCACAAGTAATGAGCAGCTGTGGCCAATGATTCTGTCCAATGGAGAGCCCTAACTGGGAAGTATGGGTAAAGAAAGTCAAGACTATAGACTGAGATTTTCACAGAACCTCAAAGTCTGACCATGCCATTGTGACAGAATCTAGAACCTGCTATTCCCTAGAGAGGGCCTACAACCCCTGGCATGTATTGGTGATGGTTAACTCTGGTCCCAGCCTCTATACACCAGAACCCCCACAGCTCACAGCTAGCTCTAGAGTTAGAGAATTAAAGAGTATGTGGACAATTTCTCCCTGATGGCCCCCACCACCCTCCTCCAGGAGCTGAGCCAGTTCTCTGATTTCACTGTTCCCTGGGCTGCAAGGGGTCAGGCTTGAAGAGAGAAGGAAGGAAACCTAGCAATGGGGTGTAAATTATGCACTGGGTATACTTGTGAGGGGCCTTTGGCCAATCCTGGGCCTCTTTCTACTGTGGGCTGCCTGTTGCAGAAGGGCAGATTAGAGGTCAACATGTCAAATGGTCAGAGATCTCACAAGGGCACTTATATCTGGCATATGTGACATATATCAGATATATGAAATGTGTGTGTGTATGTATGTGTGTGTGTGTGTGTGTGTGTGTGTGTGTGTGTGTATTCATTCCATTCTATAAGGGTCTTATATGTGGCAAGAGAGAACCATGGTTGTATGACTCTGGCTGACAGTAGCAGCCAAAACTGATTGAGACTCTTCTCCCTTGTCTAAGCTCAAAGTAACTCCTTCAGGCTGGAATTACTCATCAAACAAACTGGGAACCACCACCCAAATGTGGGGGCCTGTGCTTGGAGGGGAGTAAGAAGGAGAAGCCTTGCTTGAAAAGAAAGCAAAAGGGTTCTCATGGCTCTGAGGATTTCTGGATCTGGTCCCTTACACAYTAGGTGCAGTTATGTTTCTGGAACTGGCCTGAGTTTAGATTATGCCAGAGAAGAATCCCTTTCCTCTGCTGGATATGCTATAAATATAAACAATAATAACCCCAAACAAACAAACAAAAATGAAAACCACTTTCTATATTCACAGGACATTTAGTTCAGCCTCTATGTGATCATGAACTTCCTGGCTCCTGAGGCAGAGCAAGCAGCCACAGAGAGGTTTCGGCTATATGCAAGAGAAAATGAAGAGGGCAGTTTCTGACCCCTGGGGCTAGGATTTCTTGGCTATTAAAGTTGGAATAAGGAGTAAAGATAACACGAGTGTCCTGAGGGCTGATGGTAGCAGGCTGGTGTGTACCCAGGAATGTTCCAAAACAAAAGCGATCCTCCCGCCTCCTCTCCCATTTGGCAAGCCCAGGATCCTGTTCTACTTTAGCTATGAACATCTCTCAATGACACAGAGGCCTCTTATTTTTCCTGAATGTCTTCAGCAGGTATTTGGGTGTTCCTATGTCTCACCTTGTTAAGAAGGGCCAGACTGGAAAGGAGATTGCTAAGCTTGATGGTACAGCTGGCTGTGGGCAGGCAGGGGTGGGGCAGGTAAAGGGGAGGCTGGAAGATGTGGATTTTGGTAATCTTGATGGTCTTTGCCTGTTGTGTTTGGAAGGAAGTTTTAAAATCCTGCTGATTGCTAGGGCTAAGCACATAGCTTCATTACTGTCGTGGCCTCCAGACTGGCAAAGAAGGGTATTTTAGCCTACTATTAATCCATGAGAAGTAAGTGAGCCAGTACTTTCTGGTTCTAGAGATTCTCAGAAATAGAGGAGTAAAGGATTCCCAAGAGAAGTAACTGACTGAAGGGAATCTCAGAGTCTCTCTGGACACATAATGGATATGACAATGTCAGAACAAACTCAAAGGTCAAAATCTTTCCCCATTTTATCTAGGCAGTGAGGACTCTGGGATTAGGCCTCTTCTGTAATAAAGACTCCTCTATGGGAGACATAGGTTTCAGATCTTCAAGCCATGGGCCTCACCACCAGGAGGTAGGGGAGACTGCAGGAGCTCTCCTCTGCCAGGGCTGAATTTCAGGCCCTGCACTAGCAAAAATTGAATGTGCCAGGGAGCTGAGTGGGAATAATCCTTTAGCTGGTACTGATGGGGAAAAATCCCTGCCACCATTCCYAGCCCCAAAGGAATTAGTAAGCCAAGGGTCACTTAAGGATCAAGGACAGAGGAGGCATCCAGCCAGTTGGCACCAGGCTGGTTTAGTAGATTAGTATGTCAGGGTGGGGACAACTCACAGGGTAGGGATTTTAGTGTAGTTATTAGTGTCAATGAGGAAACCAGAAGGACTTGCCTCAAAGTGATGGAAAAGGCCCAAGTGAATAATATACTTACTCTCTAGATATCCTAGGGAGGAAGGTCATTGGGAGAGAGAACCATGGGAAACAAAGTTAAAATGGAAACATCAGTCCCTGACATGGTGTCAGTCTCTTGGCTCCAAAAACATAGCTGTGCATCCTGYTCTTGCTTACCTTCTATCTTCTGCTTCTCACCCTCTCCATAACACACAGTGAGATACACCTTCACTTCGCCAGCCTAAGACTCTACTCTGACTCCCTAGATTCTGGCCCTTGCTTTGCTGGGACTGGAGTCATGCTAGGCTAGCCAGATATGGAAACTTTTCACACTGCTTAGATGCAGGGCACTCTTCTGACTAGTCATTCCAGTTTCAAGAGAAAGCTGACCTTGTACATGGTTGTTGGTCTCTGGCTTGTCAGCTGTCAACTAGGTTAGCAAAAACCAGAGCCAGGCTGCAATGCATAGAAGAGCCCAGTTTCTGGGTGACACACTGTTAGCCCTGAGCTGTTTTGAAGTTGGCTAACCCAATTCCAAAAGTGGTACCTATGCTTCAGGGAGACTACAGTTCTATGGAAGAGCAACCTGTGCCAGCTAATAACTGCCTAATAGAAGAATTAGGCACCTTCTTGGACACAGATTTCTTGGGACAGTCAGCACAATAAAGCTTCATCTGGCAGAAGGCAGGATTTGGGGTCAGAGAAAGGTGTCAATAATTCCCAGGGCTTCTCTGCTAGGTACCAGATAAGCCACTTGTTCTGTGGGGCTGCTCCATCCATATCATACCCAGACTAGGATCAGCCTCACTTTTCTCACCAGGCTGGTCAGAGGCCCTTCTTAACTCTAGTTCATGATACTTTGCCTCATTAGTTTATAAGGTAATGTCAGAGTCTGATTCTGACCTGTACTTGGCCTAGCTTATTAGAGTTCAACAATTAAGAGGCTACTAGTCTGACAAATACAATGATTGAGACAGTTGATAGCATCTACAGTAATGTCAAGAACAGGGATGTATTTTAAGGTACTGGCAATAGGAAAATTACGTTCTATACCAACCCCTACCCCAGYACCCCATCCCCAGCATAAACCACTGGGCTGGATACTTACTTCTCAAGCAGGGTCAGAGCTGTTACTGGATTCACCCGGAGGTATTTACAGTTGGGCTGACCATAGTCAGCAAGGTATGTTGACCAATCCCACTGGATGAAGAGATCCAAAAGCTGTAAAATATTCAAATACATATAGCAGGGATTAATCAAACAGACAAATCAAGATCCCAGAAATCCCAACATACTTTGCTACAAGTTAACAGATCTGAAAAATAAAAATAAAATTCTACTGAGAGAATGAATGGTTCAGACCATAGTACAACTAAGAAAATAAATGAGTTAACATAAGAAGACAGTAATCTTGGGGCCTGAGGTTCTGGCTCAGTGGTAGAGCACTTGCCTAGCACGTGTGAAGCCCTGGGTTCGATCCTCAGCACCACATAAAAATAAATAAATAATAATGAAGGATATTAAAAGATAAATACTTTTTAAAAAGAAGAGAGTAATCTCTTCCATGAGTAATCTCTTCCATSAGCACAGTAACAGGGCTAAGACCACAGCGGTTAGCTCTCAGAGGCAGGCCTGTGAAGAAACTAACAATGGATTGGCACAACATACCACATTCACAATAATCACTCATGTATTAATTTACTAAACACTTATCAAATGACTTCCACATCCCAATCACCAATCTAGGAGCTCAGCATTCAACAATGAACAAATAAAGGTGATCATAGTTCACTGCCAAAGTATAATTTTCAACATCAGCTAATTTAATATTGATACTATTCATATTATAATTTTGTAAACTGACCCAATATCCTTTACAGCCTTTTTGTTGTTGCTGTTTTCTTGCATGATGTGTTTTAATATCAGGTATTACATTTGATTAGTTGTCAAATCTCTCCTTTTTTGCAATACTGGGGACTGAACTCAGGGGCAATCTACCATGGAGCTATACCCCCAGCCATTTTCAGTTTATTTTGAGACAGAGTTTCACTAAGGATGGACTTGAACTTGTGATCCTTCTGCCTCAGCCTCCTGAATAGCGGGATTTTTAGGCATAARCTACTGTAACACATGAAGAGTTGTCATGTCTCTGTAGTCTCCTTTAATCTGGAATATTTCCACAGCCCTTCTTTTTCTTATAAGATATAGACATTTTTAAAGAATAGAGTCTCCCTCACCCCCATTTCCTCCCTCAGTCTGGTTTTTGTCTGATTCAAGACATGCATTCCTGACCAGAATATTACATAAGTGGATATCACATCTGGAGACATACAATGCTCATTTGTTCCACACTGATATTAATTTTGATCACCTGATCAAGATGATGTCTGATTTCTTCACTATCTAGTTATCATGTTTTCCTTTGTAAATAGTAAGCAATCAAGGAGACTACTGAAGACCATGCAAATACACTGCTCCATATGAAAATTTCCCTGTATATTTAACATATGATGAGGATTCCTTTCTGATTCAGTCTTTTCCGTGTTGGCATCAAACTTATCAACTTATATTGGTATGGACTCATGGTTTCCCCCCTTTTCCCCCTAGTGGCTTAAATTCACTATTATGCCTATTGTTTTCACACTCAAATTGTTTCAGGTTAGGCAAATGGGAATTCCTTCAAGCTGGGGCATGTGTTTCTCTGAATGTCCCCATGACTTTTTTGAGCATAGACAGGTATAAAAAGAACTTGCAGGTTCATCTTGCATCTATGCTGCCCCAGCTCTGCAACCAGTCATTTCTCTGAGAAGATTCTTCTGGAAGGAATGTTACTGGAGATCAAGATTTGGGTGCCCGGTATTGTCATTGCTTCTGGAGTGTTTGTTCACTGCTACTGGGGGTCAATCTGTGGGGAGCTAAGCCCTTTCAGCAAACAGAGTTAGGACTAACATATGTGTAAATACACACACACACACACACACACACATTTTAGAAGTGTGTGTGAAGCCAATACCTGCAGTTCTAACTCATTCTCATAGGGTTCTATTTGTCTTCCCCTGTGAGAGCCCTGGGATTCAACATTATCATCTCATTTACTCAAACTTATAATACACCTACAATGGTTTCACGTTTGTACACACCACTAAAAAATAAAATAAAAACAATGCTACTACAAAACAATCTCAAGATTTGTTCATAATTTTCCTTTCCAAATGAAGTCTAAGTGTCTATCATCAAATACCATGTTTATAAATCTGCTTGGATTGATTTTCTTCTGACCACTGTTCAGTGTAGTTATGGTATTCATCAAAATACAATTGTGCTCCTTTTTAATAATTTGCTTTTAGTTTTAGGTTCTTCCCACCCATCCTTGTTAATTGTTTTAATATGTGGGCATTTACATGCTTACAAAAGTCAAAACTATACAAAAAGGTCAACTCTMAGAAGTGTCACTCCTTCCCTATGGTACCCCAATCCCTCCTGGGCCACACAGGTAAGCAATTCCATTGTTTTTAGGTCTGTTATTCCGATGTCCCCACTTGGAAAGATACAGCAGACATGCATGCTTTCTCATCTCCCTTTTTTTCTTTTATAAAAAGTTACATGCTATGCACATACATCTATATTCACATCAAAGCATTTTATTTCTTGAAATAATTGAATGTGGTGGATGGAGAAGAAGAAAGGAGAAGGTCAGAGGTGGGAGACATAAATTAAGATCACTATTCCTCAAACTTTGTTATTGAGCTTCACTTTCAAAATTGTTGCCATATCTCATGCTACATGTATTAATATTTATTTAGTAATTTTTTGTATTGATTCATTTTAATTATAAGAAAATTTTAAAAGAAAACTTTGTAATACCAACATAATCAGGAAGCCAGATTATTTGTCATTAATAGAAGACAATGCAGACGCTAGAACCACAGTGAGACATTCTCCCTGTCATCAGAAGATTAAAAGGGAAAACTTTCTCAAGTGATTTAGTGTCTAATGGCATATCTGTTACTATCTAAATCTATTTGAGTATCATTTTATGGCCGTCTATGCCTCCAATATTCCATACAACATATATTATAGGATTAGTTTGTGATTTCAACAAGAGTTAAGTGATGATTATGTGCATAGAACAGTTAAGTGGCTTATGTGTACAAAAAAGTATCAGTCTCAACAGAGAGGATCAGTGCACACATGGGTCCTGTGTCTTGGATGCCAGGATGTTCCATAACTAAATGTATGGTTTGAGCTGGTGAGGTCTGATGAGGCCACATGGACCAGACAACTTGCTGAGACAACCACAGAGAGTTCTTGAAGGCAAAATAAACTAGTCCCTATATTCTCATTCTTCTCATGACTATGTTTCCTCATATGAGGGGAAACATAACAGCTTGTCTCAGATTTTCTTTAAAAATGATGTAAAAATCATTGAATTTAGCTAACAATTAAAATTAAAAGCATCTAATRTTTGCAAAGAACTGGGCTAGGCCTTTCAAACAATATTTTAAAATAAAATGTCTTCTATCACACTGGAGAATAAAAGGAAACCATGAATGAATAACTGTAATCCAAACCAAAAAAAAATTAGTTAAGTGCTATTAAATGACATACTGATTGTTTCTCTTTTTAAACCATCAAGATGAAATATGAGAATATGATCAAAAATATGAGCTATGTTTAATGCATCAAATCAGCGAATACATGATGTCTGCATATCTTATCACTGGTGATATTAATCTTGATCACCTGGTTCAGGTGGGGTAGCTGATGGGTTTCTCTATGGTAAAGTAACTATTTTCCCCTTTGTAATTAATACACTTCTTGGGGGGAGGTATTTGAGATGATGCAAAAATCCTTTTTCTTCTCAAACTTTTGTCTATCAATTTTAATATCTATTAGTGGCTCCTGCCTGCAATAATAGTTACTGTGGTTTTCACCAAGGTATTCGCTATCTCCCTTACTTCTTCTGTAGTTCTTATTTCAAATTCTATAGCATTGCTCCTTCTCCTACATTTATTTGTTTATCCATCTATCAATTTTTATCAGTATAACCTGGATATTTATTTTATTTGTGGGTTATAATTTAACACAATTCTTATTTGCTGTTCAAGTTGTTCCCATTTTGGCCAGATGGAACTTCTTAAGATTGGGTCTTCCTTGTATTTTTTATCTGTTTCTAATCCTCTCATAAATAGTTATTTCCTTTTTGCTACTACAAGATGTTCTAAGCTCACCATGTATCTTTTCCTGCCACAGACCTGGAATCAGTCACTTCTTCAAGGTGCCCTGGTTCTTTCCATTGAAGAATAGTATTTAGAAACCAAGGTCTTAACACTTATCATGCTCATTTTTACTAGGATAATATTGTATCCAGGCTCTCTCAATGGAAAGATCTAAGGAAAAAATGTGTATATATACTTATTTGTGTATACATCTATTTATTTCTGGAACTGTGTGTGTGTGTAAATTATGAGTTCCTATCAATGTCTCCAATTCCAATTCATTCTAGTCTTTTCCCTCTCTGACAGTGAGAAAGTTGGTTGTCATCTAAACTGCAGTTGCCTTATTTATTCAGTCCTAGTTTAAAGTGGTTTCAGAGTTGCTAACCCAGTCCTCGGTGAGAAACACATTTATTAACTAGAGTCCAGCATTTGTATACAGTTTTTTTTTTGTCTTTGTCCTTACAGATTACAGTCAAAATACTGGTTTTGAAAGTTACCTGTTAGTTTTTTCTACCTCACTCTTCCATTTGATTAGACTGTTCTTTTGTAATTTAGATAGGTTCATTTTTTTTTTACTGCTTCTGTTCCATTTTAGATTCCCCCTACATCCTGGATAATTTTAATTATTTATTTTGGGGTATGTGAAACAATACTACAGTTCTAAGAGTCAAAGTTCTATAAAATAGCATGCTGAGAGAAGTATCACTCTTTCTTTATCCTCACTAACCTGATCCTATTCTCCTTATTTCTTTCTACATTTTCCGACTCATCCCTTGAAGGTAACCAATCTAGTTGTTTCTTGTTTATCTTTCTTTTATTTCCTTCACACAAATGAGCAGATACCTGTGAATTTTTTTATATCTTCCTCTCTCACTTGAAAGATAGCGTACCATAGCTACTGGTTTGCACCTCACTTTGTTTTTCTCATATATCAGTATATCCTAGAACTCACTCTCTAGAAGCTCATTTTTCACTAATGCTCATATTCTTGATTTATTCAAA